CATGAATTTAGGAGGCATATCCACAAAGTCTGATACTCTGATGCTATGTGGTTTTTGTTTTCGACAAAGTTGGCAACACTACATTTAACGCCAAGGCTTGGGAGCAGCGCCCCCATTTGTCTTAGTCAGTTGAGAACTGTTGTTGTAGTGGCGTGTTGAAGTGAGTGCTGCTATTCCGAATCTTGCCAGGTGAACAATTCCTCGACTGTATTGTGACTGGCGACGAAAATGGGTGCCTGAGACGAAAAGACAATCAATGCAGTGGCGAGATTCGTCTTCATTATCAGCGAAAAAATTCAAAATCATTGTTTCGGTCCGATATGTACAATAAATTCAACAGACGATTATTTGAGTGATTTTAAGACAAAAAGTTCATATAAACATTGGTCTACAGATGCTTCGTTTTCAAGATACAGGGTATTAAACTTTTGTAAAAAATTGCTATTTCGTAAATATCTTAAATACCCTTTACCCAATTTTGTTGTAATTTGGCAGTGTTATTTGTACTTTGTTATTTAGATGTTACATGTTATTAATAAAAAATTATAAAAATATAATAATTTCTAAAAGAAACTGGTCCCCATGTTTTTTATGTGGTCCAGGGATATGTAATTAAGTGGATTTTATTTTATTTTTCTACAAAAATTAATCAACATACGAAAAACATTCAGACAGAAAAGTTGTATTTTTAGTTAATTAATTTAAAAAATATGTAAAAATTACAAAAAAGTCAGTGGCGGAATTTTTTTATCAAAAATATTCGTTAAACTACCGCTTGGGACGCCACTGGACTCAACAAATCTAATAAAGTTAGGGTTAAATTAGCCCCTTACCATTACAAATAACACTGCCAAATTATAGTTGTTATGATGTCAATTGGAACCTGTAAATCTGAAAGCACAGGACCGTATGCACTTCTTCTGAAATTTCTTCTTATGCTTTGACCATTATGTGTCTCGCAATTTATACTCGAATAGCAATTCGGCGAGTCCGGTATTGGTAAACTAGTCCGCCTGATGTGGAATTAACGGAGGCGCGCTGGTCGTCAAAGCAAACCTGTATTGGTCCACTAGGTCGTAAATATATATTTTTGTATAATACACGGGTTCACTTAGCTTTGCCGCTTTGCCAGTGCCGTACAGAGAGCATTGCTTGGTGAAGTATGTTGTTGGGATAATACGTATTATTATTTATTAATTGATATTATTATTTATTCGTATCGTTCCCAGTAAAGTGTAATAGTAAGTAAGTAGTAATAAGTAAGTAGTAAGTGTAATAGTGTAGTAGTAATAAAGTTCCTACTTTAAATATGATTTGAGATAAATTAAGCGATTTTCCTGATTATAATTATAAATCTTTAGATATTTTACGACATGCTTTACTACAATGCGATTTTAAACATAAAAAAACTTGACAATCGTATGGTAATTATATGGTAATATAGCTCGGAATATAGTATATCTAGACGAGACAGGGCTAAATTTTTTTGGACGTCTATGGATTCCGTAGAATTTGTGAGTTAAGTATTTTTATGCGGTTCCAATTGAGATCGTAACAATTATACAACAAAATTGGGTAAAGGGTATTTAAGATATTTACAAAATAGCAATTTTTTACAAAAGTTCCAACACTCTGTACCTTCAAAACGAAGCATCTGCGGACCTATGTTTATATGAACTTTTTGTCTTAAATTCACTCAAATAATTGTCTGTTAAAAGTATTGTACATACTTAATTAACACCCTGTATAAATAAACTGCCGTTTCGATTTTTTAAATATTGAGTACTCTTAATAAGGTGCAAAATTATGTAACGTAATTCTTAGAGCTGTTTGCCTGACAAAAAATCCGTTCTAAGGTTACTGTCTCCATTTTTTAAATATTATCCAACATTAAAAAAATTGAGATATAAAGGGAAATTCATCTGCACGCCTTGTAAACTATGACATTTTATATATACACTGATTTCCTTATATAATAGACTCTCTCTAAAACTTCATAGTTTTAAATTTTAGCATGTCGTTTACATGATCTATTCTTCATCGCTATATTTAGAATAGTTGCTAGAAGGGTCTTGGAAGAACGGATATGATTTCAGGAAGAAAAACAGGGCACGATCACGCCGTGGTGACGGTGCCTCTGTTTTAACAACTACTGGGTTCACAACTTTATACCAAGCTAAAATAAAGTCCTACGAAATTACGATTGTCGATATGGTGGGGGAAGGATATCAAAACAAACACGAATCACAAGTAATAATATTTTAATAAAATGATTAAATAATAAAAAAACAAGCAACGATGAAGGGAACATAGTATAAAGGAAACAGGTACCGATAAGTAATAAAAAAAGAAACAAAAAAGCTGAGAACAGAGAGCTGCAAACATTTAAATGCAAAACGAAAGTATATTGAGAAAAATTCAAAAGTATCACAAGTACAAAATATTTAAGAACCCTTACACGACATCTCTGTCAAAGATGCCAACAAAAGTTATATATAATGTATATTTTATAAAGCGATATTTACAGATCATTTCTCATAGTTGCAAGGTACCTATAATTTTTTTTGTAATAAAAAATAAATCTTAATCTATGATTATATACAATATCCTCGGTTTGAGAATGTAAACGCATATCTTACAATAATAAAACGTACTCTTGTTATATTAAAATAGTGTGTGGTAAATATATAAGTAACAATATAAGTAAATATATGCGGGTTTGAGCGTAATACAACCCTAACGAACAATATAAAACACTTACAGTGACGTTAGAAATAAAAAAAATAATCATTCTAAGCCAGGACCGTATGCTAAACTCAAATCAAAAAATCTTTACTGTATGTGAGTATCATTTTGGCAAGACGAGCTTTATCCGACGGGTGTCGCACCCTCTCAATCAGAAGTGGGATTACTGTAGCGTATGGTCCTGCATTAACTCGATATTAAGTGTTGATAATTAACTAAACTATAATCAATCTATCACCCATGAAACTATAAGTAAGTAAATTCGATTAAACTTACATTTTGGTATTTTATCACGTCTATCCGTAGCGGAAAGACAAACAAAATATGAAGTTGTTCACTGTTGCGGTCGCTATTATGTCATAAATTTTATATTAACAACTCCAGAGCGATGCAAGCCGTAGCTGAGATAGAGAGTACATCAAATGTTGAAAACTAACTGGATACAAAGTAATATATTTTCTGGTTTTGAACTTCTGGCTGGCGGTTTGCACCCAGTAGGCATGGATAACCGTTTCTATGGAGAAAGGTACGATATTTTAAAAAGACGTATTTAAGTTTATCGATTTTCTTTAAATTAATTTTCGTCTCTGTGTATACTGCTATGAATATAAACTGGCATTTTTGCATATTAAAAGTACCTCTTAATCTCTAAAAGATCTTATGTTAAATGTAGCTGAATTTGTAAACAACGAAGGCCATTCTACTTGCTAGATGAAACTAACAACTCATTAACTTTATGAGGCGTGTCAGATAGGCTAAACTCAACTTTACTCCCCCAGGCCTACTTGTCATCTTATCAGTGAGGCTGTTGTTTGTCGTCCTTTAAAAACAGTAACGCAATAATTTACCGGAGGTTTAAATTCATGTTTTGCGACATTTTGCTCGTGGGTTTCTAAAGAGGAGATACACTGTTAAGTGAAAGAAAACGGACAGTGTTATTGGAAGCGTCGATAAATGGATATTGTCAGGTAACACAAGGCCTGACAACTAACGCGTCAACGCCTAGTGACGTCACGACCAGTGGTTGAACCAGTTGTGATGGTAAATGACGGTAGTCCAAGCGCGCATTGTTGTTAGCTCATTTTAATAATTTCTGCAACTATTACAAGGTTAATTTTATCATAAAATGCAATTTTAAATATTCTTACTTATATGTTTGTTCGTTTTTCACGAGAAAAACGTCAACGAGATGCGATAAAAAGCTGTGCTTCAACTGACAACTCCCATCGAACAAGGAACTTGCTTTATCAAGTGACACATTACGCCACCAGTAAAGTGACATCACGCGCAAATCGTTGAGGCTTTGTAATCCAGGTGGTATATTGGCGGTGCGGTATGTATTTATTCCTTTATTCCTGTGAAAACCGCGGAGGCGTTACACCTTTGCGGCACTTGTTGTAATGTTACGGGTGCACTTATCCACCGTAAATAATTTGTGTGTCTATCCGTGCAAGATATCGACGTATAAAATTGATATAAACCGGGTCCCGCCCAAGCGGAAGGTGATTTTCAAAGGGAAATTTACCAGAGAGGGCGCTCCTACACATATTTACTGGCTCCTCGAACGTTGGAGCGCCTTTAATAAACCTTTTTTGTTATACGTTCGCTTTACCCCGGATAAAACCCAGAGAGGGCTTAAATATTAGTTGGGAATGGGTCAGATTTAATTTAAGTGTTAGGCACAAGTATATAACCAAGGGTGAGACTTTTCGATGATGTTGGAAGTATCGAAATATTGCGCAACATTTTTTTTAGATAGGGGTACGAGGCTAAATAATTTGTGTAAATTTCTCTGAAGTTTCCAATGACTTCGGCATATTTTATAGACTTTTGTGCTTCTTGAAAGATTCTGATCTGATCTAATAGATTCTCAAATAAAATTTTATTCAGCTTTCGGATTTGAAGGTGAGTATAAATGAGAAAAAAATATTTCTAACTTCTTTTAACGATTCTTTTTTGAAGTGACTATCCACCAAGTTTAAATATCATGGACTTGCCCAGTGAAATTAAGAGTTCTGGTTACTTGTAAAATTTTTATATTTGAATGGGTGTATTACATTTTTTTTTATTGATTAAAGAAAACAAACATAATTCGTTCGAATTATACAAATTATTTCCAGTCTAACTGACACGTGACTCACATCAACAGAGAGAAATATAATTACCTTATTTTTAAAAGTAGTCCTGCTCTGTCGAAATGTTTAAAATAATTGAAATCGACAACGTTCTGATTAACATTTTAAATAAGCCTTTTTGATCTTATCATTTTAAAAAAGTAAGTGACTTAAAAAAAATTATAGATCTGAGATTTTTTAAATTGACCAGGGAAACGGTTCCAAGTCTGCCGTAGTTTTCTCGCCGGCCATCTTTCGCCTCACAAACGACCCTCATCTCAGCGACAGCAGCAACACTCGCCCCTTAAATTAGACATTCAGCAGTTACGGACTGGGCATCGAGTCCGAGAGTACGTCCGAGGGTGTACCGTCGCTGGAGTTGATGGAAAAAGCCCTGTTGGGGGCCCTGCGCTGCCTCAGCACGGAGGGGTCGAAATTCGGGTGTCGTCTCGCATGTTTGCTGCAACAAATTAATAAGTTAGCTGTCAGTTTGTGACGTCTATAATATTCTTTCATTGCAAAATATTATTCGCTTAGGTATATCTGATTGACCGTCAGCTGTTTGTTGAAATCGACGGTTTCAAATCACCACCGGATCTATTTGCCAGGTGTGCTTCAAGGCTCAAATCGTGAGCCACTGCTTTGTCTGATTTTTATAAACGATTTAAATGAGGCAACAAAGTGCAACAAATTAATACATACTCTTGATGTTAGGGTTTTAAGGACATTAAAGTTATTTGATCATTGCCTATTACATATTGCAACATAATATGGACATCATAGCCAATAGCAGATTAAACTAAATTGTAACAAATGTATCAACCCAGTTTATACAGGAAACGTGATCTTATTCTATTTTATTATACGAGTATTATCATTTGTATGCCTTTGAAGAGGCTGGATTTAGGGACATCTTTCCGCCAGAATTTTGTATTTATACCCTTTTATTTATTTTTATTTCCTGCAACTGAAAGTAACGTATTGAAAACAACTATTGTAATTACACCACGAAAAAAATGAGTCGGGGGTTTCTTGAACCAGGCCATATGGATTACATGTTTTTTGGGTCGCTGAAACCGAATCCGAAACCTGTTCTGCCCCATCACGTCAACGTTTTTTTCTAACCTCAAAAAACAGCTTGAAACTATGAAACCCAACAATATCAACCCTTAAACTATATAACCCTATATTTTCTTCACTCAATAACCTTGAGATCGATAACTTATAACTCTAAAACTCATAACCTGAAAATATATAACCTCAAAACTCATAAATTTCAATTCCCAATAAACTGCAAACATAAAATGAACAAAAAAAGAGTTACACGTAAAACTGAAACCTCAAAATCTTTAACTTAACTTTAACTTTATAATCCTATACATCCATCACTTCATAACCATAAACCCCATACACCCCATAAGTCTGAAGTCCCATAACCCTATAACCCCACCGGCCTATAACCCCAGTAATCCAAAACCTCATAACCCTACATGCGACAAAAAAATACTTTGAGGTGGATAGTTAAAACTTCACGACACCACATCTCTATAACTCCATCACCTTTAAACTTGTAACCCTATAACCTCATGACTCTACAACCCTAAAATACAATAGTAAATGTACTTGCACCTAAGACTTGAGTTCTGAGTGACAGTTTTACCGTGTGCCGGCATCCAGGGCACCTCCACGCAGTGGAAATTTCTGGGTTATAGGATTGTAGAGTTTTGGGGTATAAGATTATGGACTTTTGGGATTATGGAGTTTTCAGGTATTAGGTTGTACGGAGTTATGGGGATGTGGAGTTATGCTATTACATTGTACATGATTCGGAGTTATATTGCAATTTTCTTATGTTGCACTTCAGGGTTATGGAGTTTATGGATTATGAAATTATGAAGTGATGGAGGTGTAGAATTATGAAGTTAAAACTCACCCAGATTGAAATTTGAGTTTAGCTTGCAAGTTTTTTGTTTTTATTTTTGCTCATTTTGTGTTTGCAGTTTATTGGGATTTGAGATTTATGAGTTTTGAGGTTATAGATTTTCAGGTTATGGGTTTTACAGTTACAGGTTATCCATCTCAAGGTTATCGAGTTATGAAAGTATAGGGTTATATGGTTTAAGCGTTGATATTATTGGGTTTCATAGTTTCAAGCTGTTTTTTGAGGTTGCTGACGTGGTGGGGCAAAACAGGTTTCGGATTTGGTTTCAGCGACCCAAAAAACATATAAGTAATCCACTTGGTCTGGTTCAAGGAACACTCCACTAATTTTTTTTGTGGTTCTGTGTTATTTATGGTACGTTATTTTGGAATAAAGTAACAGGTTATAGTCTGCTTTGAAATAGTATGGAGAAAGAAAAGTAAGATTTGAAACCAGGTATTATTGTGTTAGTAGTAAGAGTATTATAAGGTAGAATACATCGTGAGTAGATTAGATAGCCAATTATCTTTTGTTTTTGAGACATTGCGTCAGAATAGATTTTTCTATAAAATTTAATCACACCTTTTTCAAAAAGCAATGTGTTTTATTCAATTTTAATGCGTTTTTCTTCCTTTCTATTCGAAACAAAGTATAAATTGACAAAATTTAATCAACATTTTTCGCAAACACTTTCAGACTTTAAAATAAAACTTTTTCGGAGAGAAAATTAATGATTCATTAAAGTTAATTAATACAGATAAAAAGCTAATGCGTAAATAAAAATATAGGGTAATTAAAGTAAAAATGATTAAGAGAATCTTTAAAAAATCGACATTATTATAAAAATGTTCTGCAATAAATGTCTCAAGTTTGCATTTATTCCGACAAGTGCTTAGCACATTTGCGAAACGATCCCAAAACCCATTTCTAGTGCAGCGCGTCCACGGAAGGAAGGCGGTGTTTGGCTTGGGCTATTGGGATAATTGCTCGGGCCTAACAGGGCTGCAAGAAGTTGAGAATGTGGACCGGAGTGGGAATGTTCCTGGCATCCAGAGCGAATTAATAATTTATTTGCTTCTGGGAGGTCGTTCCGTTTTAATGTGGGCAAAAAATTGTTTGCTGGAAATACGCTGGCCGGCAGAGGAAATGCGAGCTTTCCGGAAGGCCGATTCGGCTCCAATGGCTGCCTGCCTATAATGTAAATTTTCATTTAATATGCATTACGCAATCATCCTTAGTTTTATAAATTAAAACCAGAAATATTTAATATTTTTATAAGCACGTGAGAATTTGCCCCCGCGCAAGCGCTCGGAAGTCGGCATTTGATTTATTTCATTCAAATCAATAATAATTGTAGATATACCGTACGCGCCTAAAGTACGGAATAAATTCAGTAAAAACGAAACAAATTTTGTTTGGGAAAAATCCTCGAACAGGTCGGTTTTTAATTTAAAAAATATATATATTAGCATAAAAGGCGATTTTCAACCGTCATTTGTTTTCGAGTAATGGCGTCATCGACATATTTTTTAAATAGCAACCCCTTATTTTTTTTCTAGATTCTGAAAGATCGTTTCATTGTCGATCCGACAGTATTAAAATGTTGCCATCTTACATAGGAAAGTTTTCGAGTAAATGACGATTGAATTTTAGAAAACGTAAATTTTATTCATTAAAAAAATAAACATTCCTATTTCAAGCAAATACAATTCATTAAGTTTTCTACCTAAATTATTTGTTCGGATTACCTCACACCGACTTCTTGACAATACGCAAGTCTGTGTAGAAATTATTCTTGCAAATTTTGAATTATTTCTGGGGTAATTGTGTATTTCATCTATAATACAATTTTGGAGTTCTTCTAAATTATGTGGTCTATTAACGTACACTTTGGACTTTAAGTAGCCCCATAAGAAATAGTCCAGGGGTGTAAGATCTGGGGATCTCGCGGGCCATTCTATCGGTCCTCGTCTGCCGATCTACCTCCTAGGAAAACAATTGTCCAGAAAATCTCGAACAGGGCGCGCGCATAGTGCGAAGGTGCTTGCTGAAACCATATGGTGTCATCAGGAATATCAGGGTCATTATCGTTAGGAAAAATTACTGCAAGCGCTTGAACATGATCATTTTGTAAAAACTAAATATCTTTCTCCTGTAAGGGTTCCTTCAAAGAAGAAAGGCCCTACTATTGTTGTCAACTATTCCAGTCCACACATGTAATTTCTGTGGGTGTTGGGTATGTGTCTCTGCCATCCAATGAGGATTTTCCCGACTCCAATACCTGCAAGTTTGACGGTTCATTGTACCATTGAGACAAAACGTGGCATCGTCTGAAAAAAGTATTTGCCGGTGTAAATCTCTATTTACTCGACATAAATCCATCATAATTTCACAAAAGTGTAAACGGCGGTCGGGATCGTTTTCATTGAGTTTCTGCACAAGTTGAATTTTGTAAGGATGATATTTTTCCTCCCTCAGGATACGTAGTGTGGTCTGACTAACTTCATTGTTTAATTATGAGGATTATCTACCATACTTATCAAAATGTTCTGTTTGTGATCTTCACTAACGCTTGGACGTCCAGCTTTTGGAATATCTACAACATTGCCAGTTTTTCTATTTAGATTCTATCTTACTGACTGTTGATTGGCTGATACGGCGATCTGGTTGTTTTTTATTAAATAAATCGCAAACTTCCTGCTGCGTTCTAGTCTTACCCCCCACATCCGATAAGAATTATAATTTTAATTCTTTGTGTGACAGTTAAATGTGCCATAATACTTTAAATTCAACAATAATTTTTATATCGCTTACAATACTTAGAAAGTCGGTATGACAGTGACACTTTGTAAAGATTTACACTTACGTGACCTATAAATAACTTTAGGCATTTCGAAAAACTAAATTTGATAACGTGTTTGCCTTATTTTAAGTGATTTGGGTTTTCTAACATTCAATCGTCATTTACTCTAAAACTTTCTATGTAAGATGGCAACATTTTAATACTGTCGGATCGACAATGAAACGATTTTTCAGAATCAAGAAAAAAAATAGGGGGTTGCTATTTAAAAAAATGTCGATGACGTCATTACTCGAAAACAAATGACGGTTGAAGATCGCCTTTATGCTAAAATATGTATTTTTAAATTAAAAATCGACCTGTTCGAGGATTTTTTCCCAAAAAAAATTTGTTTCGTTTTTACTGAATTTATTCCATACTTTAGGCGCGTACGGTATNCGTCATTACTCGAAAACAAATGACGGTTGAAAATCGCCTTTACGCTAAAATATGTATTTTTTAAATTAAAAATCGACCTGTTCGAGGATTTTTTCCCAAAAAAAATTTGTTTCGTTTTTACTGAATTTATTCCATACTTTAGGCGCGTACGGTATATACTGCATATACTTCTTTTTTTCAAACATATGCTTTATTAAAAGAAATAAATAATCAGAAATAACAAATATATTTATGGATGTTTTGTACAGGATGTCCCATAATGAATTGGACATAGACTAACAGATGATTTGTGACGTCATAA